ATGGTGGTGGATTTTCTGTTACTCTTGGTGGTTGCCGCCACCTAGATGGCTTGGAGCAATGAGGATCATTGAGTGGAGGTTGATCGATTGATCTCCCCGTGCTCGATCGTGGTGATTATGAGGGTTCTTGACATTTTCTCGTAGGAATAGGAGAGCCAAAAGGTACTCTAGTAAATTACTCATGGCTTGTGTGATCCTTATCTTGTGTTGGTTATGCGGCGCACCTATTAAGGGTTTGGCGTGTGATGCCAATGAGCACGTGAGCCTCCAAGTGGTGAATCACCACAATTGAGGACTAGCTTTTTCCTTTTCTAAGCATTTTCTAAATTAGTTTCGATAAAAAAACATTGTGTCATCATTTGATTCCGTAGGTGATTGGTATTTATCCTTTTGATTGATTGGTTCAAATCATGATCAAGAAGGTATTTTATAACTATCTTGCTCTCTTCAAGATAATAATCTAACTAGTTGTCAAGCTCTTTAGTGTAGCTATTTATGAAATTGTTAGTTTGGTTAGTGTGGCTCTTTAATTAGCATTTGAGAGCCTAACAACTTAGTGTAGTGTTCATAGCTATTTTGTGGATAGAAACTATATAAACTAGAGTTGTAGTAGATGGCTTGCAATTTTAGTAGGCTAGTGCAACACTTGCTAAAAATTGTCTAAACACCTTAAGTGTTGTTGTAGAAATTTTTAATAGGCTATTCACCCCCCCTCTAGCCATTAGGACCTTTCAGTTGCCTCTACGTATATCATAATAGGGACAACGATGGATCATGGAGTCGATCGGAAAAGCAGAAAATATGGAGCCTTTGTGATCATGTTGCCATGATGGAATGCTAATCCTTGTTATATCTTGCCCAGGCAAGCCTCGGTGCATAACCTCTAATATTCTACATTTTATTTCATGTTGTGCATTAAGTTTTGAGGAGTTAAATGAAACCCACTTGCATATACATATATCCTTATCCCATGAGTCTTACTAGTATGACAGGATCGTGTAGATTGCTATACTATAGGATCCGGTAGAAGTCGAGCGATTACCTGTCACTCACGAGAGATAGGAAAAGATGTTATTGTTACTATTATCGGGTTATTATCACATGAAATATATATAGATAATAATTGGAGATCGGGGAGAATTGTACTTTGGATCTGGATTCGGTTAGGCAATCGTGTGAGGTTCAGGTTGCACTTATTCCGCCTGTGTCTATTGAGGACCGTCCATTGCTGTGAATGATAGTCAGGTCACAAACTTATTATCCTGAGCACATACTTGCTTATGAAAGCGGGAAGACTTGTTACTCTCTTGTCATGGGTTCCGGCTCTTTCTAGACTAACTTTTAGGGGTGGGTATTAGGTGGAGGTCTAAGTACCATACTGAGACTGTGTCTCAGGTGTTGGGGTCTTGGAGTCCAAGTTTGGACGGGACCTGGACCCCTTGATAGGAGTGGGACGAGTTGGTTCCGTTTATGCCTAGGGTACAAGCGGAGCCTGTGTTTCAGGGTACCTAGCTGAGATACATTGATTCACGAATCGCCGTTTTTCTGAGACGGTACCGACTTGGCTATGGCCGAGCACCGTAGTAAGAACTGAAATATGAAAGATGGTAAAATGGTTCTGATTGTTTACCACCTGCTTGAAAATAGCATAGGTGCTTACATAGAGTGGTTAGCTAACGAACTAATGATGACTGCTAATAAAATTGAATATAAGGATGCACGGTTAGTAATGCTTCCTGCAGATGCAATAACCCACTGGAGTCTTTTATTTTTTCTCCTGTCGGGTAAGTCTTGCTGAGTACAATCGAGTACTCAGGGTTTGATTCCCCCTGTTGCAGGTGACCGAAGTATACATAGAGCTGACTCTTGTGTGTGTAAATCTTCTGGTGGGCTCAGAAATGATTCCTTTCGCGCTACGGTCATAGTGTTTATTTATAACCCTCACTAAAGATTTTTATAAGAAAAGATGTAAAAATCTGCTAGCATCTCTTGTGTATAAATGTCCACTATGTTAATACTTCACTATGTCATTAAATTAATCTTTGTTTCCGCTATAACTCTAATCATATGTTTATTTCCCACTGCAAGATAAAACTTGTGAACTTGAAATGTATAAAATCGTTTACATGTAAACTGTTTTAATCCCACTGTTGCATTCAACTTGTTTAAGTACCCTGATGTTATAATAAAGTGATGTAAGACATGACTAAGAATGTTGTAAGCTTTATTTTCTCATTTATGATCCGAATAGGAAAATATGGATTTTCGAGTTCTCTATTAGGGTGTGCTCGACGGAACGGCATGATTTAATGCACTCTTTTGGGTACTTAGTGTCTAATGGAAGATAAGTACTCTTGGGAGAGCATTAGATTAGGCGGTTCTGCCACAATTGTTGCTCTATTTGAATCTTATTTGTTCTTTTTTCCTAGAGCTTTATTGTTTGCTTTGCGCTGGATATTCATTTACCTTACTATTTTGTGTTATATTAGGCCAGTAAATGGACCAAAAGGAGCCAATAGACTTCGTGTACATGGAAGATCTCAAAGGCAACACAAACCAGTCACAAAAAAAAGGCAACACAAACCTTGCATATGCCATGTTCTAAAGATTGTCTCTAAGCTGTCTACTGCTTTACTTTACTTTGATCACTAGACTAAGTAACTAGGTTTCAAACAAGGCAGTGGCTCAAACATCATGTGATCAACAAAAAGTAAAGTGCTAAATAATATTATAAATAAATAATGGTCACAACTACAAACATTTAAACACTAGAAATAGGAACAAAGAAGACACAAATACCTCCAAATATAGCACAAATATCAGTAAAGCGGTTGGTACAACCAACACTTACAATACTTTGCGAGGACACCATTGACCCCGCATACAACAACAGCTTTACATGGCATCCGAACAGGCCCATAGATTATATTCTTGGAAACATTTGGCACTAGTTTTTGTACTCTTGTGATTTAAAATGGATTTTATGAGTTTTCAGAGATTAAACCACATTTTTTTTGAAAAATACATAGAGGCAAACCACCTTTGGTCATTGGCTAAAGGGCTAAATTTGTTCGGTTTCCATAGTTCATCAATAAAATATAGTTTCTAAGTTTGATGCCAAAATCAGATTTTGGCAATAGATCAATGGTCAAAACTAAAAACTGCATTTCTTCCTTATTTTAATAATACTACATAGGCTAAAGGCCGGGCTCTACCACTAATTAACCTAAAATAACATTGACTATAAAGCATGCTATGTGAGGATGGGAGCATCACGTAGATGGGCCATGTGGCGGACAATGGTTGGCTGAGGTGGTGTGTGAGAAACCAATTATAGATTCAAAGCTTTATGAAACATATTAATCTTTTATACAACTCTGATTTACTTTATAACCATTTGAACCATTGTGTTACTTTGAATTAATTCAGTAAAATGGAATCAACATGCATACAACTTTTATTTTCTAAAATTTATCCTTTATATCTTCCATAAAATAATTATTTAATGGAATAAGTTTATAATGAAGCCGAAGATGTAACATTTCTCTCATGAAACCAAAAAAGTTCATATTATTGAATATATCACATATACATTTCTAGAATATTTCTTAGTAAAAATATGAAACATTTTTCGTGAAAAGTTGTAACTTGGATAGGGGCCGTTTTTAAAAGCGTTGGGTGTGTCCGATCGAACAAAGTGATGATACAACTTATAACAAAAAATGTCGAAATAAATAAATATATGACCTCCAGTCAAATCAATATGAGTTTCAAACATGCAAATGACTTGTTTCCTTCCTACTAGCAGTTGGTTTGTTGGAAACTTAATACTCGTACTTCCATACATTGATGAATGATAACTCGAACTAACCACAAAGATTTATTACAAGAAAAAGAGAAACATATAATACAAAATAAAAAACGGAATGTCTAGTGCCTGGATGTTCGTCCCGTGCCTGCAGCTGCGCCTACCGGACGTCCGCGACTCCGTGCGCTCATTGGCCGAGCCTGCCCCTGTGCTTACCCGATGTTCGTGACTCCGTCCGCTCGTGGGCCGAGCTCGAACTACGACCGGAGATGGAGGGAAGAGAAGGGAGAGGAGGTAGAGGAGAGGAGAGGGTGAGGCGCGCCGTGCGAGGAAGGGGCGAGGTAGGAGGCGAAGATATGCGACATGCTACCGTCCACCAGCCATCGGTGCCAATGCAGCATGTGCAACACCCGATCTACTTTTAAAACATCCAGATGAAACATCGCAACATACATATGAAGGAGAAAATTGCATTTTTAACGGCCCAAACAACGTGCTTCACAAAATTAGCGTTCCAAACGTTGCTTTCGTAAAAATAGCAGCCAAAACATTTGCCTCTGGTAGTTTTGCGAAGCACGTTGTTTGGGCCGTTAAAAATACAATTCTCTCTATATGAAGGCAGATGAAACACTTGAAATATGCGTGTATAGCCATTTGCAACATATGCAATACCAAGATCTACTTTCGAAACATTCAGATGAAACATTTGCAACATACGTCTCAAACACTTAAAACACTTTAAACATAGGCTTGCAACATGCGTATTTTGTCATTGCAACATATTTAACATCCAGATCTACTTTTGCAACATTCAGATGAAACACTTACTGAAAACGCCTGAAACAATTGAAAACATACGCACGCAACATGCGTATATTGTCATTGCAACATATGCAACATCTCATATATACTTTTGCAATATTCAGACCAAACACTTGAAACACGGTGTCACCGGCGGCCACGACGTACTTGGTGGCGAACTGCTGTAGACAATAAGCTTGGGTCAGGGAAGACGTCGGCCCAACGTACACCTCCGCTGCAAGACGTCAGCCCGTCGGGCCTCTTGCGATTATTCCGCGTCTGCTTGCTGCCCAGGCTCGCTCCTGTCGGCACGGCTTCTCCTCCAGTGCCGCCGCCGCTCGGCTGCAGTCGTCCAGCCCGTCCGCTCGCTGGAGATGGGGCGCTGCCAGCGATGGGTGCGTGCATGGTGGGGGACGGGCACGCGGTGGGAGAAGAGGGCGCGGTAGGGGCAGAGTGGGACGGCGTGTATGCGCGGTGATGCTTAGACACTGACGTGAGTAGGGAGTGGAGAAATGTCCAGAGCAGAAGAGACGTAGATAAGCCCTGTACGCTGGTCCAAGAAGGCACGTACCCGAACGGGACAGACGACCTGTGCAAGCATTTCCGATAAAGAAAACGGGCTTGTTCTTTCTCACGAGTGCTCCTATCCGTAGGCCCGTTGCTTCCTTGCTGGGCCTACTGGGCGTACCGATCGAGTCGATCTAACAGACCTACCTCCTCTCCCGTTCACCTCCCAGGCTCCCACTGCCGTTTACCTCTCTCGCTCTCTCGTGGCTTCCTGGCGGCGGCTGGGCGAGCGGCGCCGCCCTCTTCGTCGGGCGCTTCACCGGCGACGAACATCCATCTGGTACGCCCTCCCCTGCCCTGCCCTTGAATAGACGACCTTGAGCAGTTCGCTGTATCTGTTGCTCTCGCTGCATATCGCTGTGCTCCCGTGCAGAATACAGAAAGTTAGAAACTAGGAGATTGGGAAAAGAATGGGAAAATTTTGATATGAAAGAGATACATTTCTGGCACAAGTTATTATGCTTTGTATTGGTTTCAATGAAATACCTTAAAAACTTGTAAAATGGCGACTCCAATCCCGAACGCCACCTAGCAGCGCTGGATTTGTGACTATCTGCAGCTGATTCCATTTAAACTATTATGTTTATACATGCATATATATGTGTGCTTCAAGATGTTTATGGATTCAGGGTGCACTCTGAAAGTTTTTGTTCAAGTCTCATTTAGTATTGATTCTTGTTTGTTATGGTGCAGGCGGAGAATATTGCACTCACATAACTGATATTAGGATGAGTCTCTGTACAATAGCTCGGCGACTATGTCTTTCAAAATCATCCTCTGGGAGTCGCCTTTCGGTAATTTGCGCTCATCTATACAGCACTGAGGCTGCAAAGGACACGGGTGCTAAGAAGTACAAGTACCCTGATGTATACGACCCATATGGGCCTATGCCGCCACCGTCAGACAAAGTTGTGGATCTAGCTGACCGCATTGCTGCCCTCCCTCCTGAGGACATCAAACAGATTGCCCCAGCCCTTCTCTTCAGACTGAACCAAGAGCCGCCACAGGCGATATCTGGCCAGGGTTTCAGTTTTGGTGCTCAGGGTGGTTCTGGGGCCGGTGCTGGGAAGGCTGAGGAGAAAAAAGTTGAGAAGACAGTCTTCGATGTCAAGTTGGAGAAATTCGATGCTGCTGCAAAGATCAAGATTATCAAGGAGATCAGAACATTTACGGATTTGGGGCTCAAGGAGGCAAAGGAACTAGTGGAGAAGGCCCCAGTCATTCTGAAGCAATCGCTCACAAAGGAGGAAGCGGAAGCAATCATAGGGAAGATAAAGGCAGCTGGCGGTGTCGCTGTGATGGAGTGAACGAAGGATGATCATCTAGATGCAACACACCTTTTTTTATTTCCTATTTTTGTTGCCATGATCAGGCATTTGAGATTGCACATTGCAGTGCTTTTATGCCGGTGGAGGAAATAGTTAAGCTATAATTGGTAACCAAGGCGAGATGGAAACTAGAAGTTTAGTTGCTATGATATGATGATAGTCATGACTTCTTCTAGAATAAGCAGTTCTTTGGGCTCTACACAACTTTTCTGGTGGAATGAATGAATGTGGCCATCAGAGCCAATGCCATGAATTTGGTGCTCTTGTTGTATCTGCTATGACTTAAAAACACTTCGCAGTTGTTGCTTATATTCCCTGATATCTTCTCTATGTCAGTTACATTGCAGTGTAAACAAAGCTCTAGTGTTGTATTACATCTGGTGTGATTGGATTGAATTTCCAGTGACAGAAACTTCGATTCACTTGAAGTGTTCCTTGTTACAAATTTGTAAAGCTGGATAAGCTTTCAATGTCATTCATATCAACGGATCAGTCGATATGATTGCCTTACCCTTCAGATTTCACCCCTATCCTATATGTCACCGCCTCATTCCGTCCTCCATGCCTGGAGGAAGAAACAGAAGTCAGTCCCTTCACCCTGGATGCCATTCCCTCCGCTGTCCTCTTGGATTTCCGGCGGCGCGCCAGGCTTGAAGACGAAGACCGCCTGCGTGCCCGGGCCAGCGAAGAGCCAGTCGTGCACGTCCCAGATGACCTGCACCGGCGCCTGGTCGACGAGCAGCGTCTCGTTGCCCCGGAACTTCCACTGCAGGCTCTTGACGTGCAGCAGCACGAAGCCGTCCACCGTGACCCACATCTCGGGATCCCTGCTGGAGCCCGCGGCGGCGAGCGCGTACTCGATGACGATCTCGTGCTCCTTGCTCCTCCTGGCGTCGAGCCGCGCGCGCGCCGCGAAGCTGCGGCGACCGAAGACGCTCTCCCGGCGGCACACCAGCACGGCGTCCTCCAGCGACGGCCGGGCCTTGGTCCGCTTGTACGCGTCCTTCTTGCAGTCGCCGAGCAGGAGGACGACCTCGTCGTTGCTGACCAGCGCGACATAGTAGCCGCCGGCGGGCTCCGGGCTGCTGCCCGCCCCCGCGAACTTGGCCGAGCGCAGGTCCCAGAACATGTCGACGCGGTCGCCGCCGCCCACGTCCAGCGCCTTGCCGCCCTTCTTGCTCCAGAACGGCCACGGCTTCAGCTCCACCTTGTGGGTGACCGGCCCGTCGCTCTCGCCGGCGCCGGGCCGGTCGATGGAGATGGTGAAGGACTGGTTGATGAGGCTCTTGCTCCAGACGGCGGTGACGAGGCGCGCGGCGCCGTTGATCTTGGCGAGGAACACCGACACCGTGGAGCACTGCGCCGCGGCGGCCACCGACGATGGCGCCCTGCCGGTGGCGGAGTCGTCGCAGGACGTCGCGGCATTGCTGGTGCACCCGACGCGCTCCTCCATCTTGCTGTACGGCTCGCAGGATTTGGATCGCTTGTGCATGATCAACAAAAATCAACCACCCGAATCGCTACGGATTTAATAATAGGAATGAGATCAACCGCATTGGCATGCGGCGTTCGACCCACGTTCGTCGTCGCGTTCGTCAAGCATGTTGGGAGATAGGATCAAGAACTAGGCTCCTCCATGCTCGCTTGTCATGGGCTGCATGCGTGGGCACGAACAGCATCAATGAATGGGCAATTAGAAAAACAATAAAAGAAAGAAAGAACATGAAATGAATCTAGAATCCAAGAAAAGAAAAATGGCTGGACAATTCGACGTGGTGAACATACATTCATGTCCTTTTGCAATCGATTGTGGTGGAGAGTATCTTTTCCAGAACGAGAAAATTCCTGTTTGGGCGCGAGAAAAAAGGTTGACGGAAAGGAAGAAATGACCCGGAAGACAGAACAAGACGGGCACCTCAAATTAGATGTATTTTTTTTCTTTTCTTGATATAATTTCTACATTTTACAGGTGGGACGATCTTGCCCACTGACTGGACTAGCTCCAATTACGTGCTGCCTAGCTTGTTAGCCGGCTGCTACTATTTATAGCCAGCAGTAGTTTGTAGAGATTTCGAGTTTCGAGGCTTTAGCAAAGAAACATACACGTCATGGTAGCCACATTCTTTTTTTAATCATATACGGTTGCCACGTTCACTACACGAAATACGGTGATACATGACGATTCACCGGTGACCTTATAAGAGATCATCATAGAATTATGTCATATGTGATGGTTCATTCTAGAGGTAATACCATCATGTACCGACATAATTCTTGTAGTGATTAGCGTATAATCCTATTGGTGTTTTGGATCACCGACGAATAAATTTGTATCTGCGCGTCTGGTCCGGATGGTGTGCTCGAATGACACAAGCATTACTACAGGAATGATTTCTAGGGCGGCTGGTGAGGCATTGTAGAGACGGCTCGGTCAACCGCCCCTACCATACCGTCTCTACAAATTATGCATTTGTAGGGCGGTTCCCAGACCGTCCTTACAAATCGATTTGTAGGGGCAGCTGATAACGTGGCTGATGTTATCAGCCGCCCCTACAAATCGATTTGTAGGGGCAGCTGTAGTACCAGCCGCCCCTATAATACCTATTTGTAGGGGCGGTTCAGTCTAGAACCGTCCCTACAGTACATTTTTCCGCCAAAAAATCAAATTTATTACAATTCAAATTCGACCAGAACACACACATATATATAATTCAAATATGACCAGAACATATATAATTAAAATCTGACCACAAGCACAAGAGCATTATATAAACTACCATTACAAGTCCAATTCACAAGAATATATATACAATCCATCATTAAATAGACATAGTTCACAAATCTAATTCGTTCCACAAGTCCAAACCGTCACACAAGGTAAGACCAATGTCAAATTTCATACACATTGTTATCAATGGCCTAGAGCTAGCCTTTCAGTCTCACGAATGTGTTGGTATTAAGGATTTATACCTAAGTCAGAATCTCGATCATGGTAGGTGCCTTTGACGTGTACAATCTGATCCAATATAAAGTTGCAAAGGTCGTCAACGAGCTCTAAGAGTTGGTCATCCTTGTATGGGTCTCTTTTCATTTCTTTCTCTTCTTTCCACTACAAGAGAACAAGTTTCGGTTTAGTATTTCATATCATGTGCGAAGTTTTTATACTACGGGTGAAGAGGTTTAAACTTGTCTCCTGTAGACACCGGTGTTTCTCATCATAGAATATACATAGTATCCACAATGTACACTCATAATCTTCTGCTTGGGGCACTATGTGTTTTGCACATATAAATGTTAAGTAATGCTTTTGATAGCCATGTAATAGAGTACTAAAGTAAGTTACACTTACCACACATAGTGTTTTTATAGCCAGCCTTTTCTTCCTTACTGGATCATGCCTTCCGTGATGTTCATTGACATAGAACCTGAATGCCCTGTTTGGATTATTTTAGCAAATACAACTTGTTAGTATCCAAAAGTAAACGTTACAAGTATGTATACAAACATATAAGCTAATGAGGATTGTCGATATGTATACGTCTTGAGAATCGATATGAAGTATTTGTATGTCACCGGGTCTCTATCTATTGAATCAAAGACCCATGCCATACTCCTCTCGACATCGACGCCTATACAAATCCAGTGGTTGCTGCATGAATTTAATCATAGAACTAGATAAACTCTTTTGCATCGAATAAAATATATCGAACAAAACTTTAAGTATAGAGTTGAACTTATTCGAAGTTGTATGGTAGCCATATAGTAGAGTGCTGTTAGAGATTTTTAAAAGCTAGGACAACATATGCCGAAACCTTAAGAGACTCTTGCCTTAGTTTCTTCGCACGGATGTCCTCTTTCTCCCAAAGGGTATTTCCAGCAGCTATCTCTTTGGCATCCAGTTTCCACTGTCTAGGGTAATTAAAATTTGTTTGTGCTTGCTCTTCATAGGTTGGCTACTCATCATGCTCGGGACATCAGGCTGCACTGTTTGGTGTCCGCGATATTATTTCACGCTTTGTTCTATTAGATGCAAGAAAGTGTGCTTTAGATACGTGAGAAGGTATAAGAAATTAAAAAGGTCTATAAACTAAAGTAGTTCTATAAAACAACAATATACCAAAAAAACGAGTAGTAGCAGTAGTAGAGGCCTCAAAAACATATCAATCATCATTTGATCATAAACTTGGAGCATCAATGCATCATAACAGAGAAGAGAGGAGAAGGTAATGTAGGGGCGGCTGGTAATGATGCCAAGTTCCTCACAAGTTCTTGATCATCCCCTCTTCATATCAAAGATAATTTCTGGAGTTGGACAATTTCATCATTGGCCAAAGAGAGGAGAGGAGAGTTGGACAAAAATAGTCAAAATGCTGCCTACCCAAAAAAAGAGCAACTGCTGGTAAATATAGAAGTAGTAGGAGAGAAGAGAAGAAGAGTAGTTGAAGTAGTTGGACTAGGCTAAACAAATCAGCTGCTGCCTGCCAAAAAACAGCAGCTTTGGTCTTATTATTAGCAGAAAATCGATGAACTAGTGACCATATATATTGCTGACCATATAATAGACTAGTACAAGTAGGCCAAAAAAGCAACAGTGTAGTAGTATAAACAAAAGCAGCAGTGTAGTAGAATGCACAAAAAATGACATTTCAAATTTATAGTTGCAGTTGCAGTTCCCTCGTAATACATGCTTATGAACATTAAACACTAAAAGCACAAATATATATAATGATCCATTGATGAGCCTTTAATTTGCTTTCCCTTTAATTTACAGGGAGAAAAAACAATGAAAATTGGTTTTCGAGTGTCGATACTATTAACAATATAAAATAAGAATGTTATATTGATGTTGTAACATCATTCCATTAGATGTTCCCTGCAATTAGTACATGTCATACAGAAGTCAAATATAAAATATATTAAGCTCTAAAATATCCTATTGTTTAAAAAATATTGTTTTGCTTTGAATTTCCAAGCGATAA